GGAGCAGCTGGTGAGCTTGAACCACCGACCTTGCAGTTCAAACAGCTTTGCAGTCTGACGCATTAACCCACAGCGCCACATCAGGACTCCTATATTAGGCAACTCTTAAAGGGAACAAGGTTGTTGTTGTTGTTGTAGACAGATACAAAAGAATGGCCCAAAGATTACGTGAAACAATTCATTGTCAATATTTACAATTTGATAAAAATTTTAAGACAAATTGCATATATATTTACATATATATGCAATTTGACCAGGGAATCAATTACAAATGGCTACATTCAAAATTGTTTATATTAATGATGCTCTACCAGAAAACGTGTCATGCCAGAAGTGGAAGATAGAATAGGGGCTTTTTTTTTTTACTTTATAGACTTCTCTATTGGTTCATTTTTACATCAAATTTATATTAATTAGAACAGAAAATACAGGCACTACACAGCAGTGGATGAAAGGGAGAGTATCTTTTCAGTAAGTGGATCTGAAGTTACTCATGTTGTTGTTAGGTGCCATCGAGTTGGTTCTGATTCATAGTGACCCCTGAATAACAGAAGGAAACATGGCCTGGGCTGGATCCAGCCTCACGTTGGTTGTTATACCCGAGCCTATTGTTGCTGTCACCGTGCTAACCCATCTTGTCGAGGGTCTCCCTCTTTCTCAATGATCCTCCACTTTACCAAGCACACCGTAGCTCTTCTGGGACTGGTCCCTCCTAATCACATTTCCATAGTATATGAGACAAAAGTCTCACCATCCTCGCTTCTAAGGAGCATTCTGGTTGTTTCTGTTCCAACACTGCATACCCATATGGAAATAATTAACCTTGACCCTACCTCACCCCGTGTACAAAAATAAACTCCAGGTAGATTGTAGATCTAAACATTAAAGCAAAACAATAAACATTATAGAATATATGCATAACCTCGAGGTCATGGTTACATGGGCATTTTTTGCTTTTTTGAAAGAATATTTTAAGTTGAAATGTGTTTTATGAACTCTTCAGTATATTTCACTCCCAAACAAAGGGATATTTTAAAATGAGGAAGAAAAAACAAGAGACATCAACTATCAATCCTATCTCCTCTGTATACATACAGAGATGGGCAACTTAGACATTGGCTACTGAAAATGGAGTCCTGGTGTAGCACTGTGGGTTAATGTACTGGACTGCAAAGCTGGTTTGATCCACAAGGTTGGTGGTTCAAGCTCACCAGCTGCTCCTTGAAAGCCCTATACAGGGTCACTATGGGTCAGAACACTCACCAGCACTTAACAACCTAAAATGAGGGGTCTATAATGGCACGAAGTGACTGGCTTACAAGTTTTCAAGAGGGAGTTTAGTTTCATTGTGTGAGGGGGAAGGTAGAATCCCCACTCAATAGTTTTCACCTTGTCTAGAAGGGTCTAGTGAAAGGAAATGGGGATAAGATTCTTTAGATTCAATAGTAAATAACTGCTATCATGACTAATTGCAACCATCACAACTGTAAAGGTCTAAGTTTTTTTTTAACAAAAAGGGGGGACTAGTTCATCTTAAAGTCCAGGAACAGCGGACCCTAGGACCATCAAGGAAGAACATCAGCAGAATGTGGGGGGCCCTATCCAAAGAAAACAGTGACACCAGAGATGGAGGCGCAGCTGAAGACTCTAGACTCATGGGAAGAGAAAGGCTGTGTGCTGGCAGCCAGGAAGCTGGCTTACAGAATGCCCTTTGGTTGTTTAAATGATTATATACGCATGAGTGTTTTTCTGTACATCCCCTCCACCCCACCCCCCCAAAAAAAGAAAGAGGGAATAGAAGCAAATACTGTTGAATGATGATGCATAGAGGACAGTGTAATCATTGCAATGAAACAATGAATGTAGAACTGGTGTTCTCCCATGTAAACTATCACTCAATGCACAAAAAAACTAAAAGAAAAAAACCCAAAAAACTAGATGGAAGGTATGTTAAGAAACAAAACAAGGAAGAGTCCCCAGTAATTCATAAAATCTTTACAACATGGAGAAAGATCTGGGCAGAGGGTGTTGCAAAATTAAATAACTGTTGGCTGTCATAGAACCCAAAGACATGACTTACAGGTTGCTCAAGGGTCTCTGTTAAAATGATCATTTCTTTTCTGAGACACTACAGGAAAACACACATCCAAAACAGCAAGCAGGACTGAGAGCTGGTCCCATTTAACTCCTTTTGATCTCTAAAGTCAATTTTTAAGCTGGTAATCAAACAGAACAAGGGAACCCTGAATGGTTTAAAATTAGGAACGGTGTGCACCGGGGTTGTATTCTTTCACCATACTTATTCAATCTGTATGCTAAGCACACAATCCAAGAAGCTGGGTTATATGAAGAAAAACAGAGCCTTAGTACTGGAGGAAAGGAGCTCTGGTAGCATAGTGGTTACGAAGTGGGCTGCGAACCACAAGGTCAGCAGTTCGAAACTACCAGCTGTTCCTGGGAGAAAGATGAGGCTTTCTGCTCCTGTAAAGATTTCCAGCCTCAGAAACCCTGTACAGGTTCGCTATGAATTGGAACCGACTCCACAGTATATAACCAACCAACCAAAGGATTGGAGGAAGACTCATTAACAACCTATGATATGCAGATAATACAACCTTGCTTGCTGAAAGTTAAGACTACTTAAAATACTTACTGATGAAGATCAAAGAGCACAGCCTTCAGTATGGTTTGCACCTCAATGTAATGAAAACAAAAATACTCACCACTGGACCAAAACACATCAAGATAAATGGAGAGAAGACTGAAGTTGTCAAATACTTCATTTTTCTCAGATCAACCATCAACACTCATTGAAGCAGCAGTCAAGAAAACAAGCACCATATTGTATTAGGTAAGTCTGCTGCACTAGACCTCACTAAAGTTTGAAGAGGAAAGATGTTGGTTTGAGGACTAATGTGTGCCTGACCCAAGCCATGGTATTTTCAATAAACACATTTGCATGTGAAAGGTGGGCAGTGAATAAGGAAGACCAAAGAAAAATTGATGCATGTGAGTTAAGGTGTTGGAGAATATTGAAAGTACCATGGACTGCCAAAAGAACAAATAAAGCAGTGTTGGAAGACTGGTTAGAAGAAAGCAGAGTGCTCCTTGGAGGCCAGGATGGCCAGAAATACCACAGAGCCATGTGTTCTTCTGTTTTGTTCAGTGAATTATCTATCACCAGCACCTAGTGTCAGGCACATAGTTGTTGTTGTCAGGTGCCATCGAGTCAGAACCGATTCATAG